TGAAAGCCTCACCGCCTCGTCTCCACCATCGGCCCCTCCCTTCCTCCCTCCCCTACAGCCCTTCTGTGACCCCCTTCACGTGACCCCCATTGCAGTCACTCATCCCTCGCCCCCCGCCATCTAAATCGCTGTTTTTGTTTATGCTTTAGACTTTAGAGCGAAGGCGCGCGCGTGCGCTCTATAAATACAAACTAAGATCAGGGTGGAGGGGGGGGGGGAATTGTAAAAAAAACACCCGAGTCATGGCAAGGTCAACTTTGCAAGGCTGTCAACCCACACGATTTAACCCCCCCCCCCCGCCACCCGTATTCTTGTACAGGGAAATCGAGTTTTCAGGTCCATACGGCGTACAGCCGTTTCAATGCGGGCAACAATCAAAAATGTTTGTCTATTTGCGTGTTTCTCTTCTTGGGATGGGACTTTGTAGGATGAACGTTGAGATTTTTAAGAGGCACACGGGGTGACCAATAAGGTCTGAATGGGTCTGTAATAAGGTAGGGCACTGATAAGGTGTTGACAGGTGTGTATTGGTGAGTGTACTAGTGGTGAGTGTAGTGGTGATTGTCTATTTGTTTGCGTTTAATCTCCTTGTGATGAGACTTTGTAGGATGAGCGTTGAGATTTTGAAGAGGCACACGGGGTGACCAATAAGGTCTGAATTGGTCTGTGATAAGGGGTTGACAGGTATGCACGGATCTTTGCTCGGCGGGCCCTGCAAACGTCTTGGGCGAGACGGCATCCGCGGGGACACCCGGCGGAGACGGAGCAAACGAGATCGGAGTTTGCGACGAGGATCTAGGCCGCTCCGCACCGAGAGAGGGAAGGGAACGGATTGGGGAGGCTTTCATCCAGCGGTGGATAAACCACGGCCGCTGCTGATGATCATGGCGATGCCTTCGTTAAACAGGAGACCGACCCAGCAGTGGATAGGCCATCGCTGACGATGACGACGACGATGATGATGATGCCTTCATTCGGCAGTTGATAAGACCATGGCTCGCGATGATGATGATGATGCCTTAATTCGGCAGTTGATAAGACCATGGCTCGCGATGATGATGATGATGATGATGCCTTCATTCGGCAGTTGATAAGACCATGGCTCGCGATGATGCCTTCATTCAGCAGCGGCTCGACCCAGCAGTGGATCGGCCATGGCCGATGTCGATGGCGACGCATTCACGCAGCAGGAGGCAACGATTGACAATGCCGGATTACAACGCCTTCATCCAGTAGTGGATATACCACGCCCGATGCCGCTACCAAATGCATATAACAGTCCCGTCGACACATATACACAAGCCAAGGGGTGATATAAAACCTTGCAGATATGGTGATTGGTGTCTACTACAAATAACCCCGTGGGAGAACCGATCATTGCAGTACTTGTGGGCAAGCCTCTGCCTGTTAACCCTGACCTTAGCCTGACCTTAGCCTGACCTTAACCGTGACCCGAAACGCTGCGGGGGTGGGGGCTGGGGGCTGTGGGCTGTGGGATTGCCCCCGCCCTATTGTGCTCAACCAACTCACGGCACCCGATACATTTATTTTGTCCCACTGCATAGCAATGCAATGCGGGTCACTCTTTTTCCACACGCACACAGAGAATGTTTTTTGTTAATTTCCGCTGCTGCTGCTGCTGCTTCTGCGTTTGTGTACAAACGACTCGACGCGTCCCCTGTCGCGCGCGCGTGCGTGTGTGCCTCGAAAGGGGAAAACAAATAATAGGCGACGTTTCGGGCAATGGCCCTTCATCATAGCGCACACCGCGCGTTTCCTGCCACACAATATACGTACACGCGAGTTATGTTACAGTGTAAACACCACGGTTCATTGCAAAGTGCATGCACAAAGCGTACTGAGATAACACAAAAAATGCTGTTAGCGAACACCTATTCAAGGCTGCACTACAAGTGTCTACCTGCCTGTGTGTGCCTGTGTATGTACCTGTATTATTGTGTGTACCTGTATGCCTGTGTGTGCCTGTGTATGTACCTGTATTCTTGTGTGTGGGTGGGGAGCGGTGGTGTGGGTGGGGAGCGGTGGTGTGGGTGGGGAGCGGCGGTGGTGTGGGTGGGGAGCGGCGGTGGTGTGGGTGGGGAGCGGTGGTGTAGTGGTTAGCGCGCTGCGCTACGAACCTGGCGACCCGAGTTCGATTCCCGCTCACGGCCAACACCAGTAACGATTATCTGAACCGGTCCTGAGCCGTCTGAGCCTAAAATGAGTACCTGGTGCGATGTGTAAACATCGCCACTGGGGAGACAAAGGCAGCCGAGCGTGGTGTTGGCCACCCTTCCCCTCGTGTGCCGTGCCGGCCTTCATAGGTGCTCGCTAACAGCACTTGCCCCAACAGTCTGTTCAAGGCTTCACGGGGGACCTTTTGTTGTCTCTGCTCAGTCCACACTCGCAGAAGAAGGCCCAAACACGGACATAAACTACTCAGTGTACCTGTACACATCGACGCATGCTTCGGCACACAGACACAGGTAGACACACACACACATACCACAACTACACATACAGGCAGACAAATACACAATGTACACACACGCAATGACAAAGACCACCACCACATCCCCCCCCCCCCCGTGTAGCCTCAAGAGATTGTTGGGGCAAGCGCCTATGAAGGTCGGCACGGCACACGAGTGGGTGGCCAACACCACGCCCGGCCGCCTTTGTCTCTTTCGTGGCGATGTTTAAATATCGCACCAGGTATTAATTTGAGGGCCGAGTCGACCTAGGGGAGGCCCAGGACCGGTTCTGATAATCGTCACCACCGGTGTTTGGCCGTGAGCGGGAATCGAAGCCGGGTCGCCAGGTTCGTAGAGCAGCGTAGCGCTAACCACTACACTACCGCTCCCCCATACACATACACACAACAACAACAACCGCCATTCGCCACTAAGTGACGGTGACGTCACCACGACGCTTGTGCCAGGCTATGTGCACCTTGAGGCCACGTGAAGTGTCGAACGCCTGCTGGCAAGTCACGGGGCAGACCCAGCAGGTGCCATGGGTCGACTGACTGAGATGACCGAGATGACTGAGATGACTGGCTGATGCACCACCTGTGCCCCCCCTACTGTGCCAACTTGCTGTGCTTTAGCCACCCAGCGCTCCGCTCGTTGTTGTGAGTGTCGCTTCTCCGCTCTCCGTTGCTGTTGGAGGGCGACTGCCTCCAACTGCCCAGTAGCAGCCTCCTCCACATAGGCCGATCTTGACACCGCTGATACCAGTCATCGGCAAGTCCACTCAGCTCCACGTCCTCCTGTACCACATCACTCCATCTCTTCTCTAGCCCGTGCCGCGCCCGTGTAGCCCCCTCGATCCGGCCGAACAAAAGCTGTTTCGGCATGCGGTGGCTGGGCATGCGGGCTACATGACCCAGCCAACGCAGCCTTGCCTGCCGGAGGAGCTCACCGATGGGACCTTGCCCAGATCTTTCAAAGATTTGTGAGCTCCTCACACAATCCAGCCTGGTTAAACCCAAGATGGATCATAGGCAGGCTAGCCTAAATGTTTCTAACCGGCGAAGATGTTCCATTAGGGGGGTCCACGTTTCGCAAGCGTAGAGAAGGGAGGGAATGACCGTGGCCGAGAAGACCTGAAGCTTCATGCGGAGCGACAGACCAGGTAGCTTCCACACAGCGTTACGCAACCGATGAAAAGATATTGCCGCTCGACTGATTCGGAGTGAGACCTCTGCTGTCAAACTGGAGCCGGTCATAAGCACACTGCACAGGTATGGGAAACTCTCCACTGTCTCCACAACTGCCCCATCACCGATTGGGAGTTGTGGGGGTGGAGTGTCCGATGGTACAAAATATCCAGGCAGGTGCTTAGTTTTGGTGGGGCTGATGGTAAGGCCCCATCTCTTAGTGGCACGCTCCAGTCTCAGCAGCAGCGTCTATAACTCCTCCTCTGAATGAGCAGCTATTACCAAATCATCGGCATACATAACGTGGTTGAGCAATAGGGAGCCATCCCTTGACCGCACCCGGGCATCGATCAGCCTCCCATTATATCTGTACCAAATGGAGATTCCCCCGGCACAGCTATTGAAGGCTTCACGAACTACGTAGTCAAAATAGATGTTAAATAATGTGGGAGCCAGAGGACATCCCTGTCGCACCCCAAGGTGTACAGGGAATGGCTCTGACTCCCGGCCACGTAGTTTAACCCGGGGCCGCTCACCATCATGAAGGTCCTTAATGATCGTGAGCAGAGGGTCAGGGACTCCAAAAGCACGAAGAACAACCCAGAGCCCAGGTCTACTGATGGTATCATAGGCCTTGTAGGCCTTGACCAGGTCAATAAAGCAGAGATGTAGGTCTTGCTGGAATTCCCTACACCTCTGCTGTAGCAGACGGTCAGAAAATATGGAATCTGTGCAGGAGCGCCCTTTCCTGAAACCGCATTGGGGCTCCGCAAGCCTCTCCTCGGCGTGCCTGGCAAGGCGATGTTGAATAATCCTTGCCAGGACCTTTCCCGGCACACTGAGGAGTGAGATGCCCCTGTAGATGTTACAGTCTGTGCGGTCCCCCTTCTTAAAGAGGGGGACCACCAGGGGAGCATTTGTACACACACATACACGCACACCTACACACAGAAGTGTAAATACCAAGACCACCCCCCACGACCACATCACGCGACCACGCTGGCCTCAATAGGTGCTCACCAACAGCTCTTTCCCGGTCACCTGGCACGGACACATCGTACTCACACGAGCCCAGACGTTTAACAAACGCGGCGACAATAACCCAAGCGGTTCGTCTCCTGCCCATAACCCTCTAAAGTCTACACCACATTTGGTGTTTACACATCCCATCGGCCCGCGTGCTCCCGTGCGAGTGACACTTCGGAGCGGCATTGTCTCAGCAGCACAAGCGACGCTCTGGTGGGCAGGTTTCGACATTCAGTGCCTCGTTCGTCATTAACGCCGTGTGCCCTGGGAGTCTTCGGGGGCAGGCTAGGTGCACAACTGTGACCCTGTTGCTTACCGCGTGCTCGTTGGCAGCTGCCGTCTCCTTCTCATCATCACCATCACCACCATCACCACCTCCATCACCATCATCAGCAGCAATCTTCCCAGAGTCTGGTCTTTCTCTATCTCCGGACCGACTTAGCGTGCAACCCACTTGGTCATTGTGAGCGTGCGCTGATGATGATGATGTTGTTGACGATGCTAGTGATATGGAATATGTTGAGACTGCTACTGTTGATGATGGTGGTGGTGCTCCTGCTGATGGTAAACGCGCCGATGCTTCTGCTGCTGTTGATGATGATGCAGACACCGCTGCTACTGTCGACGTTGCTGCTGATGATACTGATGATGATACTGATGATGATGCTGATGATGCTGCTGATGATGATGAAGACAGTCCCGAGGAAAGTTGTAGGCCCCGGATGGAGTCGCTGACTCGGGCGAGTCCCGTGGCCACCATCCCTGGCATCATCACGAACTCTCCTTCCCTCTCCCTTTACCTCTCCCTCTCTGCTCTCTCTCTCTCTGGGTTGCTCAAGATGTACCCGACACTGTGGAGCAAGCTCCGCGTTCTGTAACCTACGTCTCACGCTCTCTCTCTCGACCCTCTTCTTTGCCTCGCTCCCTCCCTCTGCTCTCACAGATTCACCACCCCCTCCGCCTCTCACTCCTCCCTCTCCTATCTCTCTACCTCCTCCCTTTCCCCGCCCACCTGTCCATCACCACGAATCCTCCTCCCTCTCCCTATCTCCCTCCCACTCCATTCTCCTCCCAACTCACCGCCCGTCTCCTCTCGCCACTCTCCGCTTCACTCCGCTGTCGCCACTCCTCCCTCTTCCCCGCCCTCTCCCACCTCCTACCCTGTCCATCACCGCTCCCTCTCCTCCTCCTCACTCTCTGCCTCCCTCCTCTCTCTCCTTCTCTCTCCTCCTCCCCGTGGTTGATGATGCTGCTGCTGCAGACTGGGCCAGGTGCTCCCCCTGTTGACGGCGGTCTCTGCGGCTCAGAGATCGGCCGTCGGTTGTGAGTTGTGAACTCCACGCGATTTTGTTGGTTTGTTGATCAGGGGTCATCAGTGCGTACGCATGGAGAGGGGAGGGGGGGTTAATCCAAATGCGTACGCTTGCGTATGGGGGGGGCGGGGGGGGTCTACTGACAATGTTCATACGGATCAGGGACGTGTGGTTAGGGGAGGCAGGGCAGGCAGAGCCTCACTTCATACTCCAATGAAAATAGCTGTTACGAAAAGTAAAAAAAAAGAATAATCAAATAAAATAAATATTAAGATTTTCCCACTAAATCTGTGTTATAAATGTCATTTGTGTACGATTCCAATAATTTTTAGAGTCAAAATCGCCAAATTTGCGGAGCTCCGCTGCAAATACTGCAGGAAGAGACGAGAGGTGAGGCAGCGACGAGCTCAGCCTCCCCTCTGATTGCGCAACCCCTCAGTAACTGGATGGAGCGCGGGCAATAAGCGCGTGCCTGTTACTATCTCAGTATGTCACTAATGTCATGTTTGTAGACCCCTTCATTTCATGTCCTCGCCTTCTATACTCCAGCTAATTTATTTCACGTGTGTGTATAAAGATATTTAGGCTCGCTGGTCACGTCATGAAACTGCAATGAAAAAGCACCAGGGGAGGCAGCTATCACATCTGCCTCACTGAGGGGGACGTGTCAGACACGCTTCCTCCGTGAGGCCACGCCCCCCCTGAGGCCACGCCCCCCCTCAGTGTGTGGATCTGGCTCTGACACGAGCCAGTGCCTCCCCAGCCATTGACCTCACCACACGTCACTGATACCTATAGGGGGGGGGGGGGGGTGAAGCCTCGATAATAATGTCTACATTGGCCTTCAAATGAGTTAGATAGTCCGGCGGTGGACTATCTGTTTGCTTAAACACGTTAATATTATTAATCCTTGATCGTTTCTGCGTGGATTAAATATCGGCCGTTCTATAGGATTCGGGGGGGGGGGGGGGGGGTGGGGGTGCGTCAGGCGAACGTACGCAGGTGGGGGGGGGGGGGGTAAAAAGTCCGCGTGCGTGCAGGGAGTGGGAGAGGGCTCAAGTTTTGACAGATTTTTGCGTTCCTACTAAATGTATGGCCCCTTATAGTGGCAGGGAGTCGACCATCAACATAACAAGAAGCGCCAAAAAAATTCGAATTCGGTTAACAGAAGAAAAAAACCACACGCAATATCTCACGAGTGATCTGTTGCATCGTGTGATCTGTAATGGAGGGGGGCAGGGGGGGGTGGAGGCGGCCTGGGCAGGCCTTAATCCAGCAGTGGATAGATACCTGCTTGGAAGCGCCGTCCATAGGGGAGTGCGGGGCCCGCGGCAAATCATTCACTCTGTGAGCCTTCAAACTAAACCAGAAGAGTTACATCTGACACCGTGACGTCGAAGCACGTCCCCCCCCCCAAAACGCGGGGCCCGAGGCGGTCTCCCCGATTCGTCGTGCGTCCCTAGGGGACAGCTCTACCTGCTGCGGGAGCTTAGGCAATTACAGCCACAGGTACGAGGGCGCACAAGGGATGATGAGATTCGGTGACATAAAGACGTGGCCACTTCTGGAGCATATTGGCACAAGACGGCGGAGGAAACAGTGGAAAGAAATGACGAAATGTCCAGTGGACACCGTCTACGGGCTACCTCGCCCATGGATCGTGACGAGGACGGCGGCGGCGAGAAGGCAAAGTGCAGCCAGTCACTTTGCGCCGCGAAACGCTCGCTCGCTCCACGCCTCTCGTACCGTCGAAGGAGGTCAACGATTCACGGATCGTTCGCAGACCCCCGTTGTTGTCAATCCACTGCTGGATGAACGTCTCCCTCCCCCCCATCCAACGTCGTGTCGGTCACGGGGCTCAAAGTGCATCCAGCCCGGCGGCAGTTGTTGACTAAACACCAAAGACAAACATCCACACCCACCCCCCGTATAGCCTGGATAGACTTTTGAGACAAGTGCCGGTAGCGAGCAACGGGACACGAGGGGTTGGGTGGTCAGCACCACGCCCGGCCGCCTGTGTCTCCCAGGTGGCGATGCTCACACATTTGCGGTCGATCTATGGTAAAAGACCCAGGACCGGTTCAAATAAATCGTCACTGGTGTATGATGGTTGGCCGCGAGTGGGTATCGAACTCGGGGCGCCGGGTTCGAAGCTTGTTTGACTTGCATCCCGATGGGATTTTTGCGCACAGCGTTAAAATGCGGTGTTTTTTTCTGGAAGACTTTTGCTGTTTTTTCCAGGATTTTTCTGTTGCGCGTAGTCACTTTAAGACGTTTTTTGTTCATAGTTTTGCTTTGTTGCGGTTGCACCCGAGTCAAGAGCCGCATGGCTCACAGGGTTATCTCCATATATATAAAAGGGAAATTTGTGAATATGTTTTTTCAAGTTTTTCAAGTTTCATTTATTAGGTTATAGCCCTGTGAGCCATGCGGCTCTTAAGTCGGGTGCAACCGCAACAAACAAAATATGAACAGAGAAACATCTTAAAGCGACGACGACGCGCACCAGAAACATCCTGGATAAACCAGCAAATCTTCCAAAAAAAACACCGTATGACAACGCTGTGTGCAAAAATCCCAGTGTGATGCAAGTCAAACAATAACAATCATAAGACAATTTAGATTAAAGTTATCAGGCCAACTCCACACTTCCGCAACAAACATGGCTTAACCATATGTTTTCGAAATCACCAAAATAAAGCTATAAAAACAATGTAACAACAGTAATCATAGGAACTGTGGTTCAAATTTAACAATAAACGATATACATAACATGTAGGACCAAACTTGCAGCCATAGCTGGCAGCATGACACTCCCTGTGTATGATGTGTGAGTCAGTGGTAGTGTGAGTGAGTGTATGATGTGTGAGTGAGTCAGCGTATGATGAGTGAGTCAGTGTAAGATGTGTGAGTGAGTCAGTGTATGATATGAGTGAGTCAGTGTATGATATGAGTGAGTCAGTGTATGATATGAGTGAGTCAGTGTATGATATGAGTGAGTGAGTGTAAGATGAGTGAGTGTATCACGGCATCCTCTACGCCATCACGGCCCCCTCACTCCCCTGTGTGTCTGTTCAAAATGTTTAGGTTACTTCCCGACATGCAACAAACCTGAAATTTGCCATGTGGGTACTTTCCAGACTGTACACCATGCAACAATTATACAAAATACACTTTTTTTAGAGGGGGGAGCTCAATAATGCATTTATTTTTTGCACGGCAAGTGAGCTGTGACGTCAAATCTGTCACGTGACCCTCGCACGTGGAAGCGTAACGCATTGTAGTGTAGCGGTTAGCGCGCTGCGCTACGAACGAGTTCGATTCCCGCTCACGGCCAACACCAGTGACGATTATTTTCACCGGTCCTGGGCCTCCCCCTAGGTTGACTCAGCCTCAAAAGAGTAACTGCTGTGGTGTGTCAACATCGCCACTGGGGAGACAAAGGCGGCCGGGCATGCTGCTGGCCACTCACCCCCTCGTGTGCCATGCCGGCCTTCATAGGTCCTCGCTAACAGCACTTGCCCCCTACAGGCTACACGGGGGATTTTGTCTTTATCCTGTATGTAGGGGGGGGGGCTGCGTAGCGATTAGCGCGCTGCGCTACGAACCCGGCGACCCGAGTTCGATTCCCGCTCACGGCCACCACCGGTGACGATTATTTTAACCGGTCCTGGGCCTCCCCTAGGTCGACTCAGCCTCAAACGAGTAACTGTTGTGGTGTGTGAACATCGCCACTGGGGAGACAAAGGCGGCCGGGTGTGGTGAATCCAAGTCCCGGGCGAAGCCGGGTAGTACAGCTGGTACCATAACCAATGAAACTGAAGCAGCAGCGCGCGAGCCCGGCTGCACTGCCGCTCTACAACTTCCACCCTCCTACCAGCAGAGGGCTCCACGAGGCTCGTGAAACCACGGCGCTCCCATGGTACAAACGCAATGGACGCTCGACACATTGGGCATGAACACGGCTTTGAAGCTGCGCGTGCTGTACAGCAATGGATCGTTTCATCTATCTGTGTGGAGCTTTGAGTGTCCCCCCCCCCTCCTGCTCCTCGTACACATCAGCGCGGTGCTGGGTTTTTTTCCAGCGTTCTCCGGCTATCTCCTCCCGCACACAAAGCCCAACTCTCATCATCACCACCACCGATAATGGAATTAAGATTTTAAAAACCTATTTTATTATTATAATTTTTTTTTTATTTTACCAGGTCAGGCCCACTGAACTGCATAGTAATTTTTTTCAGCGACCTGGCTATCACAAATGATAGCTCAACGAAGTGGCTAATCACGTGGAAATGTATAGCAGCCAAATACTGTAAAGGAACGTTGATTCTAAATGTGGGGGGACAAAATCGGAGGACCCGGAGACAATGTCCACGCGATCACGGGGAGAGAGAGAGAGACATGAAAACTCCAAATATACAGCAGCAGGCGTCAAGGTCGGGATCCAACCCACGACATCCTGTATACCAGGCGAGGGAGATAACATCTCCTAGTCACGATGGCGCCCCTCCAGGTGGAGGGGGATCTCTCTCTCTCTAACGCATCTCTCAGTGCAGCGCGCATTCTGCTAGCAGTGGCGTGAGCGAGACATTGCAGCCCTGCGCCTCTACCCCTACCCACATAATAATATTACCCAGCGCAGCAAGTAATTAATTATTATATAGTATTATTATGAAGCACTATTGTTTTCCCCGTAAGCTCCGGATGTGAACAAGGAGTGAAGTCTGGCTGTCACTTCTCTCTCGAGCACGTGTTTCCTCCTCCCGTGGCCTAAAGTGTAATTTCCACCGTGCGTGTAACGCACCAAGAGGTGTCGGTATAGACGCAGCCCTGCAACAACAACAACAATGTTGCTGGCGGGAAAGCGGCATCGACTTCAAAGAGTATTTGGCCTATTACTCCTTCACACCTGGTCAGACCGAGTGGACATAGTAGACTGCCGCGTCTGGAGATCGAATCGGAGGGGCGACCTCTGGATTGCAAGTCGCGGTGGGTGCGCTGACCATTTGCACCAAGGCCGGATATTAGAAACTGAAGTGTAAGATTACAGCCCACCGGCTAACGTCAGCCATGGTCAATCCACTGCTGGATGAAGGCGTCTTCAAGCCCACGTGTGTATGCATGCATTCTATGTAGCTTAGTGTAATACAATTACCAATTACGTGGTTTTGTTTTAATTTCAATACGAACCATTTTGCTGTTGTAATATCCCCTGCATCAGCATTCCCCCTTGAGACAAGTTTAGTTCAGTCTGGTTCAGACCGGTCTCTGAAAGTGGGGGCGAACCCCTCAAACCCCAAACCCACTCACCCTCTTCACCCCTCACCCCAAACCCACCATCATCACTCACGTTGCTCGCCGCCACCACCACCCCTCCCCCACCCCATAACCCACTTAGCCCCCCCTCACCCACCAACCACCACCACCCCCGATCCTTACCCCCATCACCAACAAAATGCGTCAAACATGACTCGATTTGTGAACGCAAAAAAACATCCCCTCCCCCACCATCCCCCCCCACCCCCCCACCACCACCACTCCTTCCCTCCCTACCCCCCCACCACCCCTCCCCCACCATCCCCCCCCCCGCACCTCCCCCCAACACCCTCCCCCCACTCATCACCGTCAACCATCCACACCCAAACACAACAAAGACCAAAAACTTCAAAAGGCGCGTACGTTACGTCTCCTATAAACCGGTGATAGCGAGCGCCTATTACGGGATAGGATTGGCTTGCACGTTGGGGTGGCAAAGACCAGTAACAGCCCCGCGCGCCCGGCCGCCTTTGTCTCCCCAGTGGCCGCCGATATTCAAGTCGAAATATCGTGTTCTCCCGATTATAAGACGCACTGACGCACTGCCCCCACCACAATCTCCCTTGAATTTTAAAGTAAAAGTTGGAGGCGCGTCTTATAATTCGGTACTTTGTGTGTGTGTGTTTGCGAAACCAGAGTTGCACAACTTAATCGATACCGGGCACGCAGTTTGAGTGCGTCTTACTTACCGGCACGTCTCATAATCGCGGAGAATACGGTGACAGTGTGCCTAGTAAGACCGGGTCAGATATCCCGTGCCACCGATGTCATCCGTTACTGGGTATTGAACCGGGATGCCCGGGTCAGTAGCGTAGTGCGCTAACTACTGCGCCACCGCTCCCCATGCATTGAGGGCAAGGGTTGCGTAATTGAATCTACAGATACATTCCGATATACGCACAAAGACAAAGACCCCCCCACCCCAAAAGCCTTAGTAGACTGTTGAGGCAACTGCTGTGAGCGAGCACCTATGAAGGCCTGCACGGCACACGAGGGGGTGGGTGGTCATCACCACGTCCGGCCGCATTTGTCTCCCCAATGGCGATGTTTAGACACCGCACCAGTTACTCATTTGAGACTGAGTCGACCCGGGGAAGGCCCAGGACCGGTTCAACTAATCGTCACCGGTGTTTGGTCGTGAGCGGGAATCAAACTCGGGTCAACCGTGTTCATAGCGCAGCGTAGCGCTAACCACTACACTACCGCTCCCCACACACACGCGCGCGCGCACACACAGACAATGATTCTCATTCTGGCAGCCTACATAGACTGTTGGGTGAAAGGACTGTTAGCGAGCACCTCTTGAGGTGGCAAGAGCGCTCGAGGGAGTGGTGTGGTCAGCGCCACGCAAGGCCACCTTAGTCTTCCATGTTATAATGTTTGCAAAATTTAGTCTCATACACAGGCGCATTCTCACACTCGGACACGTACAAATGTTATGCACATATCAGACAGCACAACTGATATTTATTTATCATCCTCCCATCACTATCATCATCACGAACATCAACATCATCACCGTAACTATCATCACCATCATCATAATCAGCATCATCTCCCAATCATCACCATTATCACTGCCACCATCCACTATCCCCATCATTAACACTCCCAACATCATATTCTTAGCTCTTTCGGTAAAGTCACGTTGAAGGGAAACAATAAAATAATAATATATATAAAACAATATATAAAACATATATATTTTATTATTTTAATGTTTTCCTTCAACGTGACTTTACCGAAAGAGCTAAGAATATGAATTACTGCAGTCACGAAAGCTTTAAATAAAAACTCCCAACATCACCATAATCATCAGCATCACCACCACGGTCATTAACATTCCCACCATTACCATACTTAGCATCACCACGGTCATTAACGCATAACGATTATCATAAGGACCATAACAATGATGGTGGTGGTGGTGATGGCAGAGAGTGAAGGGAGTGTGTGATGGGAGTGATGCGAGGGATGGGAGTTGGGATGATTGGAGCGGATCATGTGCTCAAATAATGTGACGAAGCTTCCCGATCGCGGAGAATTATTTATGCAAAAAGTGATGGGAAAGGAGTGAGCGGAGTGATGATGATGATGATGATGGCGAGGGTGATGGTGATGATGACGACGATGACCCGTCACCACCACATCACCATGAACATCACCAAAATCACCATCACCACCTCCCCCCCTACCCCCTGCCCGAATCTGGCGGCTCTCCGTGTGGACGCGTTGCCGCTCACGTACGCACCCTCGCCCGCGGGGGGGCGGAGGGGTGGAGGGGGTTGTGGACAGGGGGGGGGTGTGAGAGGGGGATTTGAAATGAGATGCGAGGATGAGAGAGGTGACTAAGCTGAGAGAGAACGCGCGTGCAGGGCCCAGCAATATCAACAAAATCCAACCGCAACATCGCACCAGTGTAAGGGAGTGTGGTAGCTGGGATGGGGGCGAGGGGGATGGAAGGGAGAGTTAAGGGAGGGGTCGTGATGGGAGGTTGAGAGAGAATGAAGGAGAGGGAGGGAATTTTGGAGTGAGGGATTGGTGGGACCAGGGCAGTCAGTAATGGGAGGTATGGAGTGATGGGAGGTAAGGGGGTGATGGAGAAGGAGGGAGTGATGGTAGAGTGGTGGGTTGGAGTGATGGGAGGGATGAAAGAGAGTGATGGTGGAGTGGTCGGAGCGAGTGAAAGAATGGTCGGGTAGGGGGTGGGGAGGAGGAGAGGGTGGGATGGGAGGGATGGCGGGAGGGATGGAGGGAGTGATGGCAGTGAGTGGGGAATCGGCAAATCGCTCTACAACGGTGACCCCTCGTATCGAGCGTGCTGGGGGGGGGGGGGGGGGGGGTTATCCATGTTCGCGGGTTGCCCCCTCCCGGACTCTGAAGAGTCAAACATCCCAGTGTGGCAGCACCCTCTTGGAAATAAAACGTTTTGGGACTCGCCGAGGCTTACGTGGTTAAATAAAGGACTAGAAAAGCGCTCAAAGAGTTATCTTCCCGAAACCAGCCATGGGGTGGTGCTCATTCCACCAGTGGTGGTAATTCCACATTCCTCTGGCCGGACGAATTTTTTTTTAAAATCTGGATTTGAAGCTTTCGTGACTGCAGGAATCCATACTCTTTGGTTCTTTCGGTAAAGTCACGTAGGTAGAAAACATAATAGATCACGACGTTTCGATCGCAACACAAGCGACCGTCATCAGGTGGGACAACCACAGCAGGGAAAACTGCTTCAGCAGGCGTGACACGGCAGCTCTCGCAGTTACTCTGCTGTGATTGTCTCACCTGATGACGGTCGCTTGTGTTGCGATCGAAACGTCGTGATCTATTAATTTCTACCTACGTAACTTTACCGAAAGAACCAAAGAGTATGACATTTTTTTAAAGCATCCGAGATACAACGATTGCGGATAGTTGCTTTGTTTATCGACCGCATGATGATTGACTTCACGTGAATATTTTCAGAATCGTGGTGACCTCTAGTTTCAGAATGGGCACAGAGTTGGTGATGGTGTCGAGGTAAATCCTCCGATCTGGCATGACGTGAGTGTGAATGGATGGCAGCGCGTCTGGCTGTGAAGAGGAATAGGAGGTGACACGGAGATGTTGATTGGTTGAAGAGATCAGGGTGATGGGAGGGATGGGTGTGGCGAGTGGTGGGAGTGATGGGTGGGGTGAGTGATGGGATGGATGTGCAGGATGGAATGTGATGGAGGGCGTGAACGAAGGAGTGATACAAGTGATGGTAGAGTTTGATGGGAGAAGGTCGAAGTGATGGGAGGCAGTGATGTGAGAGAGGGAGAGAGTAATGGGAGGGAGTGATGGAGGGGGGATGAGAGTTATGGAATACATGGAGTGATGGGAAGGGAGGGAGTTTTGCGAGATATGAGAGTGATGGAAGAGAGTGCATTGAGTGATGGGAGAGTTTGGAGTGATGGAGTTCAGCTCGCTTTAAAGCCGGAGCCAGTAAATTACAGTCAGGGCTTTGGCGAGAGAGGGAGGGGAGGGAGAGTGACACAACACGGACAGACAGGAAGGGAGAGGGAGGAGAGAGAGAGGGTGGGGAGGCTTGTCCGCCTTTAAGAGCGCTAGTCCCCTCGCAGGGACTGCTGTGCAGCTTGGAGCGAGGAGCTGAGTGGGTAGTCCCCGTCTCAAGCCGGCGCCGTGACCCGGCAATCAAGGCGAACGTGAGTCCCAGTGCTCATATCCGTGTGCCGTCTGTTTCTCCTCTGTGTGTCTGCGCGTCCGTGTGTCTCTGTGCGTGCGCGAATATAATTCTTAACGCAGTGCAGACACACGCCTGCGCATGTGCACATATACTGCACACGCGCATTCACAATGCACGGGACGCGTGTATGCCAAGCTCTGTGCACGCAAGCCGGAGTATGCACACTACATATGCGTGCACATTGACACACGCACAGCTCATTAGTGCACAGCAGCGAAATTGCATCTAAGGCACTTACACACACGTGCACACGCACACACATACACACTCACCATGTGCACACGCACTTACACACTCGCCTGCACAAAGACAAAGTGGTCCGTATAGCCCAAACATACTGTTGGGGCAAGTGCTATCAGCGAGCCGCTTACACACTTGCATGCACACAAAGGCGTGTGCACACATATGTGCACACACACACACGTGCACACCGTGCAATGCACTCACAAACCATCGGTGTGCCATCACCACACCACCACACACACCGCGTGGGGAACACGCACACACGTTACTTTATTATTGCTGATGGGCTACATTTGTATTTGCACAACGTTACTAAAAGCACACGGACTCGGCAGAGTACGTGACGAGCCTCGAGATGGGATTGTGAGGAGGAGCTGTGGTGGAAGTGTAGCGGTTCGCGCTGCGCTGCGAACCCGGCTATCCGAGTTCGATTCCCGCTCACGGCCAACGCCTGTGACGATTAATAATCTGAACCGGTTCTGGGCCTCCCCGAGGTCGAATGAGTGGCCTGGTGCGGTGTGTAAACATCGTCACTGGGGAGACAAAGGCGGCCGGGCGTGGTGCTGGCCACCCACCCCCTCGTGTGCCGTGCCGGCCTTCATAGGTGCTCGCTAACAGCACTTGTCCCAAAAGTCTGTTAAGGCTACAGGGAGATCTCTGTCTTTGTAGTAAAGGTGTTTGTGGGTGTATCAGTTTGTTGTTTGTGGCTGGGATAAACATTGTACTGTTGTTGTCATTGCATTGTATTGCCTACTGTTGTGGTGGTTGTATTGCGTTGGCGGTTTTGTTGTTGTTGTTGTAGTAGTAGTGGTTGTTATTGGTGGTTGCTGTAGTGGTTGTTGCAACGATGCATGCATTGGTTGTTGTATCTGTTGTAATCACTGTGGTTATTGGCTGCTGTTTACGATTTTAATGATACCGATTACGATTGTGACGCCATCCCTCTCCCCCTCCATCCCCTCCTCCCCCCTCCTCCTCCACCCCCCTCCTCCCCACTCACCCCTCCCCTCACCCACCCGGCCGCCTTTGTCTCTGTTCGCTTTCAATTGATGCAGTGGAGATTGTTTACGTGACCTGGGTTGAGACGCGAACTTGGGTGTGGTGGTCATTGGGGGTGTGTGGGGGGTGGGTGGATGGTGGGGAGGGGGGTGAATGGGTGGTGGGGGTGGGTGGGTGGTGGGGGTGTGGATGGTGGGGGTGGATGGTGGGGGTGAGTTGGTGGTGGGGGGTGAGTTGGTGGTGGGGGTGTGGATGGTGGGTGGTGGGAGTGGGTGGTGGGGGTGGGTGGTGGGAGTGGGTGGTGGGGGTGAGTGGGTGGTGGGGGTGGGTGGGTGGTGGGGGTGGGTGGTGGGGGTGAGTGGGTGGTGGCTGTGGGTGGGTGGTGGGGGTGTGGATGGTGGGTGTGGGTGGGTGGTGGTGAGTTGGTGGTGGGGGTGAGTGGGTGGTGGGGGTGAGTTGGTAGTGGGGGTGGGTGGTGGGGGTTAGTTGGTGGTGGCTGTGGGTGGGTGGTGGGGGTGTGGATGGTGGGGGTGGGTGGGTGGTGGTGAGTTGGTGGTGGGGGTGAGTGGGTGGTGGGGGTGAGTTGGTAGTGGGGGTGGGTGGGTGGTGGGGGTCAGTGGCGGTGGGGGTGAGCGGGTGGTGGCTGTGCGGCTGTGGTTGTTGATCTTTTGAATCGGTGGTTGTCATTGTCTTGTTCAAGAGAGGATCTGGAGATACGATTGTGGGATAACGGAGAGAGGCGACAGAGAGAGCGAGAAGGGAGATGGGGCGATGATGCGTTCACACTGCGCTACGAGCCGGACGGAGTGCGTTTCGTGTTCCCAGCCACGGCTCACGTCAGTGGCCAGCGATGTTTGAACGGCTCCTGTCGACCACTAACTCCCTGCTCACCTCCATCCCTCGTCGCCAATCCGCACTAATTGACCAGCGCGGTGAAGTATGGTTAGAAGAAGGAAAAAAAACAACCCCCTTGAACCGACACGATGTGGGGAGGCCTTTATCCAGCGGTGGATTTGACGAAAGGGCTGACATTAAGACAATATAGAGGAGGGCGGGGGGGGGGGGGCTGGAGAGAGAAAAACAGAGGGGAGAGCTGGAGAGAGTAACAGAGAAAGTAGCAGAGAGAGAGTAACGGAGAGAGGGGAGAACTGGAAATTGTAACGGGAGTAACACAGAGGTATGATAGAGCTGGAGAGAGTAACAGAGAGAGAGATGTGATAGAGTAGCAGAGATTGTAACATAGAGGGAGAGAGTAACAGAGAGAGTAGCTACAGCGAGAGGGGAGAGATGGAGAGACTAACACAGAGAGAGGGGAGAGAGGGAGAGACTAACACAGAGAGAGGGGAGAGATGGAGATACTAACACAGAGAGAGGGGAGAGACGGAGAGGCTAACACAGAGAGAGGGGAGAGATGGAGAGACTAACACAGATAGAGAGGCGAGAGACGGAGATACTAACACAGAGAGAGGGGATAGATGGAGAGACTAACACAGAGAGAGGGGAGAGAGGGAGAGACTAACACAGAGAGAGGGGAGAGACGGAGAGACTAACACAGAGAGAGGGGAGAGAGGGAGAGACTAACACAGAGAGAGGGGAGAGACGGAGAGGCTAACACAGAGAGAGGGGAGAGATGGAGAGACTAACACAGATAGAGAGGCGAGAGACGGAGATACTAACACAGAGAGAGGGGATAGATGGAGAAACTAACACAGAGAGAGGGGAGAGAGGGAGAGACTAACACAGAGAGAGGGGAGAGACGGAGAGACTAACACAGAGAGAGGGGAGAGACGGAGAGACTAACACAGAGAGAGGGGAGAGACCGAGAGACTAACACAGAGAGAGGGGAGAGATGGAGAGACTAACACAGAGAGAGGGAGAGACTAACACAGAGAGAGGGGAGAGACGGAGAGGCTAACACAGAGAGAGGGGAGAGACGGAGAGAGGAACACAGAAAGAGGGGAGAGATGGAGAGACTAACACAGAGAGAGGGGAGAGACGGAGAGGCTAACACAGAAAGAGGGGAGAGACGGAGAGAGGAACACAGAGAGAAGGGAGAGACGGAGAGAGGAACACAGAAAGAGGGGAGAGATGGAGAGACTAACACAGAGAGAGGGGAGAGATGGAGAGAGGAACACAGAGAGAGGGAGTGGGAAGGAGTGGGAAGGAGTTGGCAAATGCTTGCGGTCGAGAAAGTTGTTTACGAGACCGGGCGGAGGGGGAGGGTGATCTGGTCGAACAGGGAGGGGAGGGATGAGGAGGAAAAAAAAGGAGGGAGACCTGGAGAGGGGCGGGGGGGAGCGCAGGGAGAGAAGAGAGGAGAATAGAGGGGGAGACGTCGGCTGGAGGGGATGGGAGATGGGAGGTCTGGGAGCAGACAGGGGGGTAGGGCAGTGGGGGAGGGGTGGAGATCGCAAGAGGGTGGAGAAGAGACGCGGGACGGAGAGGAGTAGAGAGAATGCGGGAGATCTGGGTCAGGAGGAAAGAATGGGATGTCGGAGTCGTCGTGATGGGTGGGGAGTGGATATCTGAGGTGTGACGGAGGGAGGGAGATGTTGAGTGAGCGGAGAGGAGACGTGGGGTGGAGCAGAGCGGTTGGGGGAGGCAGGAGGAAAGACCCCGGGCTCGGTGGGGAGGTGGGACGTTGGAAGCGAAGTTGAGACGTGGTCGAGTCGAGCGGGAGGGTAGGAAGTTTAACACGTCGGCTTTCGCGTTGTGGATTGTTGTGGATTTGCTCTCCAACACACAACCGGTGTTGCTGTACTAGTGACGAATTGCCACGTTCTGTTCACGTGACAAACCTTACTAATTGTCTGTGTCGGATGGTGGCAGGTTTAACGACACACTTATATTTTGATTTAAAGCCTTCGTGACTGCAGGGATTAATATTCTTGGTTCTTTCGGTAAAGTCACGTAGAAGGGAAACAATAAAATAATACAAATATAAAACAATAAAATTATCACGACGTTTCGACTGCAACACAAGCAATCATCATCAGGTGTGAAAAACACAGCAAGAAAATTTGAAAAAAGTGGCGGTTATTTTTAATGATCCATCCATCCATCCCAGAAGAATTCCCTCATCAAGACTCTGCACCATAGAGCCCAATGCATATCCGACCAGGAACACATAGCCAGTGAACTCAAGCACGTACACCAAGCTCTTAAGGCTAATGATTACTCCGACTACACAATCCGCAAAGCTATCACTCCAACCATGAAGAAAGACCCTCTTGAGGAGCCTTTCAAAACCATCACTTTACCCTACATTGCGGGGATCACAAAAAAAATCTCCAAAATCTTGAATAAACACAAGATCCAGGTGCGATTCAACACATTACACAAAATCCGTGATCTGGTTCCGTCTGCAAAAAATGTGATTCCGGACATACAGTACCCTGGCGTCTACAAACTAAGTTGCCTCTGTGGTAGTAGTTACATTGGAGAAACCAAATGACATGTCTCGGACCACATTCGTGAACACAAAGCAGACCTAATACACGGTAGGACCAACACTTCGGCCGTGGCAGATCACTGTTATAATTCAGTAGGCTCACATGACATTGACTTCTCCAAGACAGAGGTTCTTTGCAAGCCATTTGGCTACCATGAGAGATTCGTTCATGAGGCTATCCACATATACAAACACAGAGACAATTTCAACCGAGAAGATGGATTCTGGCTTAGCAATCATTTCAGGTCCAAATTGATTGTTCACGC